CAGGTAGGTCTCTCGGTTAGCCCTCAGCCAAACAAATTACGAATCTGTCCTACCTATACTACAGCCTCGACAGAGAGAGGCTACAGGCGACCAGTAAACAGCAAGTCGTTGCAGACCTACCCTCCCCCGGAGCGAGGACCTCCGAGCTAGGAGCGTAGGCGTGCAGAGCGCCGAAGGGGTACCCCCTTCTGTGCTGCCTCATATCTGAGGATGACAGACTTGGCTGTCTTTAGGAGATACTTGCGAGTAAACCAGCGATCCTCAGTGTGTGGCTGGTATAAGAACTTCACAAAATACTCCTTATCTGGACATGTCCCTGACTCATCCTCCACAGATTCGACCTCATACCCCTTGCCAGGGATAGGGGGACCGAATTGTGGGGGCCTGTCTGGAAATGCATCAGCTGGCGTAAATGGCAACAACTTAGATGCATGAAAGACAGGGTAGGTTTGTAGATGCAGAGGGACGTCCACATTATAGGACGGTCCAAACGGATCAGCTCCCACTGTATCTAAGACCTGCCATGGACCCATATATCGTGGCAGCAGCTTAGGCGAAATGTCCTCCTCTCTTGACAGCTCGGAACTGAGTACCCACACCCAGTCACTTGTGCGAATCGTAGAAGGACGCCTGTGCTTATTGGCCTGTTGAATCATAGCCTTTTGGGCTTTCAACAGGTTAGCACGGGCACGCTCTATGTCCACACGGTAACGCCTGGTGAACTCTGCAGTTCCAGGTGTCAGCGTAGGGGTAGCCTTGTCGATGATATCATCGACAGGCTGCCGTGGTTCACGACCCCAGTGCAACCGGTAGGGGGTGAACCCAGTCGAGGAGTGTACAGACGTGTTATACACAAGCTGTGCACGACTCAGATGGAGATCCCAGTCCTGGTGATCTGGACTGATCACAGGACGCAGCAATTGGAACAGAATCTGGTTCATCACTTCAGCCTGACCATTGGCTTCAGGATGACGACCAGATGTCATGTCCAGCCTCGAATGAAGGTAATCCCTGCAGTAGGATTGCCATTCATTGCTGCAAAAATGGGGATCTCTGTCACTGACAATGGAGGTGGGTGGTCCATGATGTGTAACCCACCTGTCAGCAAACGCCGCCTGGACGGCCGACACACGAGCCTCAGCTGGTAAGGGGATGAACTCTGCATATTTGGAGAACCGATCCACACATACCATGACCTGACGCATACCTCGTGGTGTAGTCCTACCCAAGTCAGTGAAATCAATAGGAACTGACTGTGCAGGAGCATCAGGGATAGGTAGGGGTTTGAGTAAGCCAAGGGGAGGTCGTCGTACCACCTTGTTCCTTTGGCATAACTCACAGGTTCCCACATAGTGCAGCATGTCACTCCTCATCCCCTTCCAGAAGAAGCGTTGCGACAGGGCTGCATACGATTTGAGGGCACCAAAGTGACCACGAGCGTCATGACACTCTGACATCAGAAGTGTCCTCAGCTTGCGGTCCTGGGGAATGCACAGGCGCTCCTCGCCTCTGCTGCACGTGTACAGCAGGCCTGAGACCAGAGAGTATCCTGGTTCAAAGGCAGGATCGTCCTGGAGATTCCTCACAATAGGCCCAAAGATCTCATCCTGGGGCAGCAAATGGGCAATGGTCTGACGTGTCCTCTCTCCAAACGAGTGAGTAAAGGAGATCAGAAAGAAAGCGTCAGGCCTACGAGAAAGGGCATCTGCTACTCGATTGTAGCAGCCCTTCTTGTGTCTCAGTTCAAAGTCAAACATGTCAATGAACTGAATATAGCGAGCAAGCTTGTCATTCAGCTCTCCCTGGGACTTCATCCACTGAAGGGTGGAGTGATCTGAGAAGATCTTGAAGTGCCTGCCCAGGAGAAAGTGCTTCCAATGCTTGAGCGCTGACACAAGAGCATAGAGCTCCTTCTCATAGGTAGAGTCCTGCAGCTTCTTGGCCTTGATCTTCTTGCTCATATACTCAATAGGCTGCAGAACATTCCCATCATCCTGCTGAAGTACCGCCCCTACACCATACTGGCTAGTGTCAGTAGTCAGTACAAAAGGCAAAGTAGGGTCAGGTAGCTTCAAGACAGGAGCACGAATCAAGGCCTCCTTGAGACGTGTAAAGGCCTCATGACATTCTGACGTCCAAAGAAAGGAAGTTCTTTGTAAGATCAGTCAGGGGAGCTGCAATCGCTGAGAAGTTCTTGATGAACGTCCTGTAGTAGGATGCAAGCCCCAAGAAAGACCGGACATGACGAATGTTAGCAGGTCGCGGCCAGTCCTGAACTGCAGCAACTTTCGTTGCCTCAGGAGCCAACCCCTCTCCAGAAATCACGTGTCCCAAATAGATTACAGAGAGCACCCCAAAGGAGGATTTCTCCCTGTTAATCTTGTATTGGTTAGCACGCAAGGCCTGGAGGACCAGAGCCAGATGCTGCGCATGCTCCTGGACAGAACGACTGAATACCAAGATGTCATCAAGGTAGACAACTACGAACTTGTCCAGGTAAGGCCTCAGTATGCGGTGCATCTCTGTTTGGAAGGTGCCTGGCGCATTGCAAAGACCGAATGGCATAACCAGGTACTCGTAAGTCCCATACCTGGTTTTGAAGGCTGTCTTGTGGACATCGCCTTCAGCCATCTCAATCTGGTGGTAGCCAGATTTGAGGTCGATCTTGCTGAAAATAGTGCAGCCCTGCACCATGTCCAACATGTCATCGATGCGAGGAAGGGGCTCTGTAGACTTCCTCGTGATTTTGTTGAGACCACGATACTCCACGCACATCCTGAACTCACCATTCCCCTTTGGAACAAAGAGGACTGGTGCCCCAAACTCAGATGTGCTGGGCCTGATCCAGCCCTTGCTGGTCAGGGTCTCTAACTGTTTCTTGAGCTCTTCAAGTTCAGCAGGAGACATCTTGTAGACCTGGCCCTTGGGAGGGACCGAGCCAGACAGGATCTCAATCTTATGTTTGGTCTGCCTATGGACAAGTCCAGTAGGCTCCTCCATAAGATCTGAGAAGCGGTCTACCACCTGCTGAATCTGAGAGGGACAGGGAGCAGTTTCCACGTCAGTCTGTTTGACATAAGCCACGAACAGACGAGCGTGGTCAGTCTGGTGTGAGAATCGCAAAAATTTGCGAGCACTCATGCAATAACAGTTGCTCGTCGGATGGTACTCATCAGCGAGTATGCAAGGGCGATAGACCCCATGCCGGTCAGGCAGCTCAACCCTAGGAATCCGCCAGTCAATCCTAGGATTGGTGGCACCAAGCCACTGCATAGAGAAGACAAGGTCAAAGGGAACGTTAGGGAACACATAGAAGTTCAGGCGATGCCTGACTTCCCCCTGCTTGTCAAAGGACACAGGTAGGCCCTTGACAGCAGTGGTAATCCTGACTGTGGAAGAGTCCCCAATACGGACCTCCAATGGCTGTTGCAGCTTCACCAACCTCTGGTCCAAGTGTAGTTTGTTGACTGCCTTGGGGGAGATGAAGTTGCGAGTAGCCCCACAGTCCAAGAGCCCTTTGATCTTGGCTCCCAGGATGTAGGGTCGAAGCAGGATGAGTTCAGACTTGTGCTTCTTCTCCTGCAAAGACAGGAAAAGATCAGCAATAGTCTGAGCATCGTCCTCCTCCCACGTCTCATCCAGCTCAGAGTCTTCAAAAGTGGAAGACCCTGTCAATGCAACTCTGGAAATAAAAGTACCAGCGAGAGAATGTGAAGATTCCCCTCCATCAGAGAGGGAATCAGCACTGGTGGGAGGAGCTGCTGCTTCCACCTCTCTCTACTCTAGTTTTTTGAACTAGAGCTCCCTGCAGACCTACGAGGCATACTGGGACAGTCCTTGAGGAAGTGGTCCCCCTCGCATCTCAGGCAGACCCCCTTATCCTTCCTCTTCCTCCAAACTCCCTCCTGGATCCTGAGTGCATGCCATGGGAAGGTGGAAGGATCAAGTGGGTCAGCTGGCCAGCGGACGTCTCGTGGTAAAGGTACTCTCTGGGCCCCAGGGGAAGAGGCACGTCCCTTCCCTTTCCCCTGGCGACTGGATGGTGCTTTCTGGGCTGGGGCCTTTCCCTTTGCCAAGCCCATCAAAGCATCAACCAAGGCAAGAACAGGATCTGCAGCTGATGATGATGCAGTCCCAGGTGGAGGGCTTCCACCCTGGGATGCTGCGTCACTATCAGAACCAGACGTTGCAGCAGCAAACAGGGCGCCCTTCCTCCTCCTTCGCCCTTTGGAGGAGGGCCCCTTCCTTCCTTCAGAAGGTGCTTCCTGGACATGGACCTTGGACTCCACATCCAGGGCTGCTCTGCCAAAGGACCTCCAGTCCTTGTGGCCCTGAGAGAAGAGAGCAAGCTGGAATTGCTCAGGCGCTGCCCTCAGGAAATGAATGACCAGATCCTGCTCACTCATCTCCAACCCTGGAGTCGATGTCAGACTCTCGAAAGTGGAATACAGTTTGGACAAGGAGCCATCAAACTTTTTCTGGCCCAGGCACATAATTTTATCTGCAGCCTTTCTTGCCTGCTCCTTGTCTGCAAACCGGTCTTGCAGGGCCTGCAGAAATCCAGCCACCCCCAACCTTTGCGCCCAATCAGCCATCTCCATCCCTTGCTTGTTGGAAGTGGAGGTGCACCATTTTAGTGCAGTCCTCTCCAGCCGTGCCAGGATGGCTGACACCTTCACATCCTCGTCGCATTTGAACCCACTCGGGTAGGTTCGCTGCGCAATCACCCAATCTGCCACATCCACCTTAGGATCTTCTCCTGAGAACATTGGTAGAGAGGTCAGCTTGGGCCGCTGCGGTTCAAATGGGGCTGAGGACTGAGAGGGTGCTGGTGACTTGGGTGTAAGAGGTGGGGATGTAGGTCTGGAGTGCGGGGGTTTTGGGACAGGTGCTGCAGAAGGGCCAAAAGAAGGAGGAACAGTCTGGACAGGGGTGATCTGCAGTTGTTTGGCAATGTTGCTCAGCTGCGCAGAGATGTCATCCAGCTTCTTTGACAAAGCTGAATGACTGGTCTCTAGACCTGAGATTCGGTCATCCCAGTTAGTAAAGTAGGACCGGTGAATCTCATCCTGCAACAGGATGAATTCTGTCATGTCCTTACTGGCCTGACTGGTCGTACCGAGGCTCATGATTCGCTGCATGTCTCCAATCAACACTTTTCTCCTGGCCTTTTTCTGGGCGTGCTCTGCCTTCCTCTTGAGCTCTGCCCTTAGGTTCTCAACTGCCTGGGCCTGCAAGCGGAGCTTCTCCTCTTGGGCCCGCAGTTCAACCTCTAAACGGTCAGGCGGTACAGGTGTTACAGGCTGCACTTTCATCTCCAGCTTGACCTGGGGTGTCTCCCCAGAACTCTCAACTACCTCAGCCTTCCCTGATTCCGCCATATTGCTCCCCACAATACAGACAAACAAATAAACAAGAAGTAGCAATCAACGAACAAACAGGAGGTAAAAGGAGTTGGATGTTCCCTGCAGTACTAATCCAATTGCTGTCACCTGCCTGGAGAGAGAAGATTGGTTAATCTGAGCAAGTGAGTGCTCAGTCTCAGTAGACCGCTTGAGGGTCAGGGTCAGTTCAAAGTCCACTCAGGCAAAAACCAATTTCACGATTTTTCCATCCCTGCCCTGACACAACAATTGCATGCAATAATTGCAAATCCTGAATCAATAACTGACAGGATGCAGTCTTGGACTAATTAGTGTTGATTAGTAATCAGACAGAGTGACTAGTTAGGGTTAGATGGGTATCTACTGATGACCAAAATGCAGCGATTTGCAGGAAAATCTATTTTTAGACCTACCCTGTTAACATCAACACTGTATGACCCTGGATGCCATACCGGGGGTATGGCGAATTACAGCAAACACTGTAACTGACTCAAAACATCAAATCTGACTGTGTGATTTCAGACACTGCTAGAATATTGAATTGCAATTTACCAGGGACTGACAGAACTGAATTCTGACGGGCAGAATCAAAGTTATGACTGACCCTAGTCTACCATAGCTTTGGCTATTATCACTCACAATTGAACCCTGAAACCATCAATTCACTGCACAGTGTAAATCGCAATACTGTAAAGCAGTCCCTGATGAAATTTGAGCCAGAGGGGAGGTCAAACAGGGTTAGTAGAGGTCAAAGAAGATACGTAGGAGAGGTTGGATATGGCTGTCCCACAGTCTGAATTTCGATTTTCAGCTGTCACCTGACGGACAGACCCAATTTCACTATTCTAAAAATAGCCCCTAAATCGCCACACAGGATAGAGTAAGGAACACACTCACTTCAGGATCAGCTCTGAAGAAGATGCATGGAATCTTGGCTATGGCTGAATAGTCAAGCCTGTCTCGTCAGTTTCACCTCCTGACAGTATATTGTGCTCCCACGTATAGAATCCTTCCAAACTTGGTGATCCAATAGAGTTCCCTGAGGCGCTTCACCCCCAACTGACAGATTCAACGAATTTGGACTCCCAGGTGCTGATAACTGCTCCAGACAGTACAGCGCCACATCACCCTGCACAACGCTGATTGGAAATTGGGGATTCTGACCCAATTCCAAAATCGCAACCTCCTGGGATCTCTTCCCTGAGAATCGCCAACCTCCAGGTGAATCGCACGGCTATAATTAGCCTCCCAGAGCCTTCTGGGCCTCTGGATTATCAATCGCCACTCACTCCTGCATAACCCTAGCCAGGAGTGTGTCACCCTCTGTCTGTTGCTTCTCGCCACACACTCACAACCACCACCCTACTGACAACAACCCTGAAGATGATGAATCACCATGAAGCTCAACTCCAGTATCTCGCCAGATGATGATGGGTGCTCCAACTCATCAATCGCTCCAGAGTCTGGATCCAATTGCTCCGATACCAACTGTTATGATTCTGGTTGTTCGTTGCCTGAAAGCCAACACTCACTCACATAAACTTCTGCACATGCCCATACACACACAGAAGGAAGGGGAGAGGA